AATTCATACATTCAAGTACATTACCAAACAATTATTGTCAAAACTTATCTAAATAGTATCATGTGTATGTCAAAGGATTTTGGTTGTTTACATGTGTTATGTCCAGTATTTTATGTATACCTTTTATTTTAGATTGAGAATGGAAGAGTTAGCTATACCAGGGCCTTCCCATGTGGTGTGAGTATTCTCTTAATCTAAACCATTTCATTTACTCATGTAGAAAATATTTTAGCTCAAGTCATATTCCTTTTCCTGATGAAGCTTCTAAGATGGTAGAGCCTCCAGAAATTTTGCAGTCATTCACATCATCCAGTACTGCAACTGCTTCTGAACAGGAGTATCAATTGGCAATTAGAGGCAATGACACCAAACGAAATGTCAGAACACCACGTAAAAGAAGGTATTTGAGGGAGACAAGAACTTGTTTCTTACTAGCTATTTTGTATCAAGATGAAATGATATATAATATTATTTAATGAATAAAGTATATAGTTGACACATTTATCCTTTTCAGGCTAAAACGTTATGTTGGAGATTTATCAAGTGATGACTTTTCCACTCCCAGAAAATCAAAGTCAAATTATCGGTTGATGAAAAGTTCCCCAATGACATTGAGGAAAAAAGTAAAAAGTCTCCAAACAAGTGTTGCTGCTTTGAGGAGAAGAATAAAAACTCTAAGTGGCTTATTGAAACTTTTGAAGCAGAAGAATCACATAACAGATTCAGCTGAAACTGTATTGAAGGTAAGCAGATTGATGAAGACTGTATGTCCCAGATACCCGAATTCATTTGAATGGAGCAATTGATCAACTTTTTTTTTCAATATAATAATTTTCATTACAACACACACACAACACTCAACATACCATAACTGGTCAAAAGACCAGTTGTAATCTTGCTCATTGAAAATAAGCATTATCATCTTATCACTTTTGCACATATAGCTCCATGATTTTTTTCTTTTAATTACAGCATTTGATATTCTTTTTTTATTCGTATTTTGTTTATTTTGACTAATACTTGTTACAACAAGTATACATATCGTCATCTAACCACAGCAGGTCATGAGACTGGTTATGGTAGAAATAGAATTGAGTATGGGTATGTTCAGTGTTAATATCTTAGTTTCCTGATGTTATTTATCTTGCATAAATGTAATTAATACTAGTTTTAAAATACTCATTCTGTTCAGATTACATGATTTAATTGCATTCTAAATACTTAATATCTCTTTTAGGCATCTCTTTCTGGTATGCCTTTGGAAATCTTTGAAAGAATGTTGAGGGGGCGTACTAGCCAGAAATATAACCCTGCCTTGCGGTCATTTGCCCTCACGCTGAGCTTTTATTCCCCAAGAGCATACAATTTTGTGAGGAAGACATTTAACCTTGCTCTACCCCATCTGTCAACAATAAGCAAATGGTATAAGTCGATTGATGGTTCACCAGGCTTCACTGAGGAATCCATTGTGGCCTTGAAATTAAAACAAGGAGAAGCTTCAACCAAAAACTCTACTGTTATGTGTAATTTAGTGCTAGATGAGATGTCTATTCGGAAACAAGTTGAATGGACAGGGAGTAAGTTCACGGGGTATGTTGATATTGGGGCTAACATAGAATCAGACGTTCTACCAGAAGCAAAGGAGGTGTTGGTTTTTATGTTAGTATGCTTGAATGGAGCATGGAAAATTCCGGTGGGTTACTTTCTGTTGGATGGCTTGACTGGTTATGAAAAGGCAGAACTCGTGAAAAAATGCCTAACCTTCATCCACACTTCTGGAGTTACTGCAGCATCATTAACATTCGATGGTGATCCAGTAAATTTCACAATGGCTTCTTGTCTAGGGACAAATCTGAACGATGTAACAAACTTGAAGACTTATTTTCTCCATCCTATAACGGGTCAAAATGTATACATATTCCTAGACCCAAGCCACATGATAAAATTAGTCAGAAACGCTTTTGGTTCCATCAAATACTTAGGTGATTCTGAAAACAATCAGATAAGTTGGGATTATTTGGTGAAGTTAGTTGATGTGCAAAATATCGAAGGTTTACATTTAGGCACAAAAATAAGAAATCGTCATCTACAGTGGACGAGAGAAAAAATGAGGGTCAAAATAGCTACACAAACTTTAAGTAGAAGTGTTGCTGATGCTTTGACCTATTTATCCAAAGATTTAAAACTAGCGACGTTTGCTAATGTGGAAGGTACCGTAAAATTTGTTCAAACATTTAACGATATCTTTGATATTTTCAACTCTAGAAACAGGTTTTCAAAGTACTTATTTAAGCGCCCACTTTCTCCAGCTACTGCAGATACATTTTTCAAATTCATGGACGAGGCAGTTCAATATATCCATGGATTGCGACTAGGTACTCTCCCAATAATACATTCTCCAAAAAAAACTGTTTTTTTAGGATTTTTGATTTGCATTCAGAGCTTGAAACAGTTTTATAACTTGTGTATTGTAGAAAAGAAAGTTTTAAAATATATTTTGACAAATAAATTATCACAGGATCATTTAGAGCTTTTTTTTGGAGCTATTCGTAGTAAGGGAGGGTACAACAATAATCCCAGTGCAAGGCAGTTTGAAGCTGCATACAAACGATTGCTGGTGCATACAGAGATATCTGGCCCAGACACAGGAAATGTTGATAACCCAGAGCGTTTGACTATCTTATCTTGTGGCAGTGGATATCATATAACCAGGGCGGACGATGGTGAAGATCTTTTGAATAGCCCAGAATTACTTCAGTTTGAAGAAAAAATAAAAAACGATCTTGCCCTTTACCAGTGCACACCTTTTGCATGGAATCTTACAATTTATACAGAAGATGTTATTTCATACATTGCAGGGTTTGTGGTGAATTGTTTAAAAAAATGTGTTACTTGTATAAATTGTAAGAATTCTTTAGAGGGCGATATTGACATGCCATTGCAAAAAAGAAAAGTTTATGGAGAATTGACAAAAGCCTCAGGACCAGTTATTCAAATTTGCCGCCATGGTGAAAAATACTTTCGTTTCTTCCAAAAGACAACTAATATCTTTAACAAAAATATCAAACATCTCTCGGATATTCTAGTCAATAATACCATACAATCAATATCACCACATATTTTGGGGTATTTTGAACACCACCTTCTTGAAGATGACCCTATTGATGGGCACTGCATATTTCTGATAAAACTGATTTTGAAAAAGTATTTCTCACTCAGAATTCATCACGAAACTGTGAAAAAATCGGACAGTTTAAAAAAAAACAGAATTAGAAGTGTATATACGAAGGCAGTATTATTCAGCCATCAGTAAGATTTTTTTCTTTGTTGTATCTCTCGTAATTTTTTGGATTCTATGATATGATTCTAAGGTTGAGAAGTATTTTTAAATTATGTACATTTTTGTAGACCTGTAGGTGGCAGAAGTTCAAGCTTTGTTTTTCCCAAAATGCATAGCTAATTAGTAGATTTTTAATTTTCTGGCGACACTGATCATGTATGTATAGGTCGACTACATTTCAGCTGTTTCGCATGTAATTGAAATAATTCAAGATTCCGCAATTTCTACCAATACACAGTAAAATGGAAATATCCCGACTGCATGTATTGTTTTTTTTTTCGTATTTCATGTTATAAATGGATACATAAGCTATCTTATAAAATTAATTTGCTATACAAATTTACCTCAACACAATTACTACAACACTTTAGGTAACACCCCAAGATTGAATGAATTATTTACAATTATGCTTAATGTGTTGATGTATATATTTTTGATTATATTATATGTAATTAGATTTTATATAAAGTTACCTTTATATATATATATTATATATATATATATATATATATAACTCGCATATTTTCCTTTAATTATGCTATAACTGAGACCTCGTAGATGAATGTCAGACGTTCATTCCATACTGTGATCCGTACGTCAGTATTTACTGATAGATTTCCTTCCGGATCGATGGAATGATTGAATTTCCACATAACCTTATGCAACAATAAAACATGGCATCAATACGCTAGGCTAGACGTTCAATGAATACGACCACGTTCCTTGGAAAATACTAACGGATCAGAGTATGAAATGAACGTCTGACATTCGCTTTATAATACTGGCAAAGTAGTACTAATAAGGTTTAGAGTGTTTGTTCTTATACTGTTCTTTACTATTATACAAGGAATGGCCTATGATGATTTTGTACCCATTGTTAAATTGGCGAGTGTGAAGTAGCTGCTTGAAGCAACTCTTGTAATTTATGATTTTGTAAAAATGTCAAAATAAAAAGTGTTCCCATTTCACTGTTTGATTTGTTTTAAAAAAATATCTTATTAAAATGGATGGCGATTAAAACTGTTCAATCCAACTCTAATTTTTAAGTAAATATTGGAAACACATTGGTCAAGTATACCGTCTCTAATCTAGAGGCACCTCTGTCAAAATCCATCAAACCGTTCAAGGGTGATTCTCTGTAAAGTCGTAAATCCCGGTCCATGTCTGATATTCAATTGAGTATTGTTATATAAAACATAAAGGATGCTTATACAATAAGTTTAACAATATGCCTTCCTTGTGCGATTGATATAATATTGGTAATAGTTACAGTTTATTTTTTATATGCTCCCAAATATCATGAAACACAGTCCCCTGGGCTGTCCCATTCCTATGATATCCACTTTGTGATATTATTTTCAATGGATTTATGAATGTCATGCTATGTGGCCAATTGTCCTTTGAAAATGAATAAACCAAATTATGACAATTCTGTCAAATGATACTATAATTTAAATTTATCAAGTTTCTAAAATGTGTGTAATTTTGTCCACATTTTTTCCAAACAGTACCCTGTACAAATCTCTAACCTCAAATAAAAGATGTTTGCGTCGGTCTCAAATGATATTCGGCATTAAACGGAACGCACCTATGGTCAAGGTCGCTCCACTGCAGCAAGCGACTGCGCAGCGCCATTTTGGTTAGTATTAGCGCGTCGTTTCTTGTGAGAGCACGTGTCAGGGCCGTTACAGCACACAGTCCTCTGGTAAGTATTAAAGTTTATAATATTCATAATTAACCATATATGTATTATGTATTGCTCCTATAATTCCTGTGTTGAGTGATCAGTTGTCGTGAAATTGAATCCCTAGCAGCTGTTTCGTTGATGTTGAATGATTTAATCGAAATACACAGTCCCCTGGCAACAGTCCCCTGGCCTCCAAGATGCCAGGGGACTGGAGCCCATTCCAGGGGACTGCTGATATCAGTTCTCTGTTGATATTTTGCAGTCAACGCTATTATATGTATCGCACTAAACATAAGAATTTTTTACAGATGCCTTCGAAAAGGAAAAAGTTATCCAGAGAAGAAATATTACAGAAAAAGAGGGAAGCTGAACGTTTGAGGTACCAACGAAAAAAGAATGACCCGCAAATGAGGGAAGAAATGCGAATAAAGGAGAAGTTGAAATATGAAAGAAAAAAGGAAAAAGGCTTGAGAAAATTAGCCAAAGACATGACTTCACGTGAAGATAGGGCTGCCTTAAAAAAGTGGAGGGAGCATTGTGCTGCTTACCGGGCCAAACAAAAGGATGCGACAGTGGCTCTCAATACACCACGTGCAAACATGCTTTCATCTGATCAAGGAAGCCCTTGTTCATCTGCAGGATGCAACACTTCAGTTTCCATTGACTTTCCTAGTAACCAGATCCCTACGGTAACGGCTATCAATTCACATCGAAGAAGGCAAGCCAAAAAGCGGAGAGAAAAAGTGAATAAGGAAAAGGATGAGAAGATAGAAGCTCTAAAGAAAAAAGTAGATAAATATAGGAAAAGAATAACAAGATTAAAATAGAAGTAAGAAAAATAAAGCAGACACACCCAACACTAAAATGCAGAAGATGTTGAATGAACCTGGAGGTAGAAAAGAAGTGGTTAAGAAAGTGTTGTTTAGCGACGTTTTAAATGAACAACTCAAAGAAAATTATTCAAATTTAAAATGTATTAAAGATAAACAAATATTTACGAAAGTCTTGTCTGGAGTTCGATTACAAAAGTACAGGCGGTGTATACCCAGAGACTGTGGTGTTTTGTATAGAGGTGTTCAGAGTACAAAACGTTACAATACTTTGACCGTGCCTGTGATACGGCGGACAAGAATACCAATAAGGTATTATAAGCAATTTTGGGATGAAATGTTTGGAGGATGCGCTCACGTTTAGTATTAGAGCAGAATAACATGATTTTGGATTTAGAGGAATTCATCATCAAATTGTGCTTTACAGAATAGCTAAAAACTACATCAATATCCTCTTGTAATTCGACGGTTGCTTGTTGATCATGTGGATCAAAATGATAGAGCAACTGAGCATCGTCTGCGAATGACTGTATTGTAGAGTTAGCTACTACAGAAGGCAAGTCTGCAATATATATTAGAAATAACAAGGGTCCCAAAACAGATCCTTGTGGAACACCAGATATGATATTGGTAGAGTTAGAAAAAGTATTATTAATGACAACACATTGGGACCGATTAGCTAAGTATTCCGTGAACAACGATATAGATATATTATCAAAACCTAAATACTCCAATTTAGCAAGAAGCAGCTGATGACTCAGTTTGTCGAGTGCTTTAGACCTTTAGAGTAATCGATCGAGACCAAAATGGAGGCAATCTTTTTATCTTGAGCCCGTATTATATTATCTGTTATATTAAGCAGAGCAGTAGTAGTAGAGTAAGATTTGCGGAAGCCCGATTGATTTTCTGGCAATATTCTGCATAATTCAACATACTCGATTATTTGTTGCTGAGCTAATTTCTCCAGAACTTTCGGTAATAATGGCAGAAGGCTTATAGGCCTCAAATCAGAGAGAGCTTCCGGCTTACTATTTGTGGGAACAGGTATTACTAAAGCATGTTTCCATGCTTGTAGAAAATAACCAATTTCCAAGCATAAATTCAAAATATGTGTAACGTGGAATAAAATACGAGAGAGACACAAAGTTAACATACCAAGACTCATTCCAGCAGAATCCCTTGCACCAGCTTTAGTCTGCTGGATGGTTCTGTAAATTGCATATGGATCAACGACTTTAAACGAAAATTTAAAATTATGATTATACCTGTTACGTTTGTAGAAATTAAAGGTATCGTCATCTAGCTCACCCGCATCATAAACAGTTGTGAAATAATCATTGATCAAGTTTGCATCATTGAGAGTATCGGGTATCAGAGGCCTCGAAGAAAAATTAAGATTTATACTCTTCATAAATCTGATTTTTAACCTTTCTTCGGTAGCGAACAGGTGTGGGAACATAAAACTATTTCTGTAAAACTAATGTATTAGGTAACCAAATAAGTTCTTGCGGTTACTGTATATCGCACATTGCCATGGATGTTGCTGATCGATAGCGATTGTTTGTTACCTGTTGTCACTTTAGAATGAATCCTCCTTCTCTCGCGCACATAAAAAGTTGCTGAAAGTTGTTACATATCTAGTTTTAATAATTGAAAATTGCGACGAATCAAACAGTAATTCGAAGTTGTTTACTGTATGAGTACAAACTTGGTACAAAAGCTGCAGTGGCGGTGCGAAAGATATGTACCATATTCGGAGATGATGCCGTTAGTGATCGAACAGCACAGAAGTGGTTCAAAAAATTTTCTTCGAGAGATCTCAGTTTGAGCGATCAACCGTGCTCAGGGAGACCAACTATCATGAAAAACGAGGATCCTTGACAAGTTGTCGCAAATTCCAGGACGAAGTGCCAAGAAGTTGCAGAAATGTTCAGAGTGAGTCCTGAAACTATTTGTTTGCATCTTCATCAGCTGGTGGACAGCAACTGGAATTGTCCATCATGAGTTTTTTGAAAGCGGTCAAACCATCACTACACGCTAACTTGTATTGTGAACAGCTTCAACGAGTACAAGCAGCACTCATCCAGAAACAGCCTTCTTTGATCAATCGAAAGAAAGTGATATTCTTGCAGGATAACGCCCAGCCTGATACCGCAAAAGTGACCAGAGAAAAATTTTCTGAACTCGGCTGGGAAACGTTATCGCACCCGTCATATTCTACTAACATTTCGCCCAGTGATTATCACCTTTTTTTGTCTCTTAACAACTGTATGAGGCACCGACAGTTCACAACTCGAGATAGTGTAATAAATGCAGTCTGCCAATTTTTGTACTCCAAATCCAGGGAGTTCTATAATACCCGCATACAAAAATTGGTTCCACGTTGGTAAAAGGTCATTGAATGTGATTGTAATTACTTCGACGAATAAATAGTGTCTTATTGTTTCCCAATAAAAATTTATATTTTTTTTATATCATGCACATAAGCTCAACCCATTGAACAAATTTTCTCTAAGAGTTATCGAGCCACATGACATACTACAGGCAATAGATAGCTTAAGATCGGGTGCTCGTGAAATTGATGATCTAACGCTGATAATTATAGAACATAGTCTTGTAACGTTAATGAAGTTACCAAATTTAGAATATTGGGCTCTCAAAAAGATAGACACATGCCAACAGTTTCGATTTAAAAAGCCAGGCTTCACATAATACGTATTCCATTAGTGAAATTATTCGATTAATTTACTACTCAGACTGTACCACTCGAGATCGAATGGCACGTATTGTACGTGCCATCTCTTTTGCTCCGAATGCGTTCTCCCTCTCTCGTGTGCGCAATCCCAGCAAATCCTCATATCTCTTCCTACTCTTGACGAGCTATAGTTTCAGATGTATCTCGCTTGAAAACTATGGATTTCTATCGATTGCCTCAAAAAAATGAATATTTTGGTGTTTATGCGCTAAGGTGTGATCTTACGAAAACAATTGTTTTTCATAGGTTGCTTGACACCGAGAAATTTCCGGACATGAGTCCAGCAGTGAGATACGTTTATTTTAGTGTTTTCTATCTTCTAGAAAAATAAGAAATGGTTATTATGTGACACCCTGTATTATCTTGAGCTGAAAATCACTTTAAGAGGTATTTCGTGCATTGAAATGCAAATTGTTTCGAGTACACACCACAACCGAGTGAGTCTGCATATTGTTTTGTTTAACCTAACAGTTGAAGCACCCATTGTATTGAAATAAAGAAAAATCAATTAAGGATCATTCCAAGAAAATGATGAACTACACGTAGAGTCTGAGGTAATTTGAATTATATACTTTAGATATATATAATCCAAAGAACAAATAACAACATGCAACGATATGAATGGGCTTTCCGTGAATACAGCTCAAAAATATCAGCTTACTTTTTTAGAATCTCTGCAAAAAGTAGTTGGAAAGATGCAGGACTTCCAAAACATTTCTTCTTTGTAGCCAAAAAATGGCTGTCAAATCTAAGATTTGAATAAAAAAATATGCCAATATGTACCAAGAGAAATGAAAAAGATCACATTGAACTATAGCACCAAAATTGGCGGCATCTAGCAGCCACAGTGGTGTCCCGGCTGACAAAATGCACAGTTTTCCCGTGGATTTACTGTATGATCCAATTCATACAAGTGACAAATTTAACTAAAGCAAAGTTACTTTAACTTGTATGTTGATATTTTTCTGAAGATTAAATAGTTTGGTGTACGAATTCATAAAATGCTTTCAAATTACTTTAACGAAACACAAATGTTCCAAGTAATGGATTCTGAAGCAGGATAAAACGGTACGCCGAAATATACAGAAATGTTATTCACCTTTACTCAAGGACAGATAACCGCAGCTTGTATTAATGCAAAATTAATTAAGCATAAATGTAAATTGGAAAGCAAGAAAGAAGTTGTATACATGAAAACGGGTTATTTTTAACGAGTTTCTGCTGATTTTGTTTATTGTTGAGGATATATTTGAAACATTCTATGAATACATAGCTGATTGGCATACTGCTTGAGTTTAAGCTGATTAACGTTACGGTATTTGAATTTCATCCCATCAGCCTTTTCCGTTCATCTACCCAATGGTTCCTGAGGTCACATCTCCATTATTCAGAAAGATATTAAAGTTGTGACGCTTCTAGTACATTTTGAGAAAAACGCTCAGACACGTCAATTTTGATTTTTAGGGGGATGTCTTTTCATCTATTGCCGTGCAATACAGTGTGATGCAGAAACAAGATATTGCGTTAGACTTAGGTTTTTAAATAGAAACCCCCATTTTTTTAATTTTTAGATTCTCCGTGAAGTTATTACGAACTTTTGTAGAATAAAGTTTATACCTATCGTCAATCGTTGTGAAGCTATTTGAGTTTATAATACGATTCGAATAACTCAACTTCATACTGATGGAATGCACGACAACAAATAATAATCATTGATACCAGCAAGAACATTTAAATTTAACATCAGTCAGTGTCATCATCGTTGACATAGAAAAACTTTCTTTCATGTCAAATTGTTAAGTTACCTACCTAGTTGTGATAAATATTGAACAATGGCTTATCCAATTCAAGAAAGGGGCGAGATAACAAAACTGTATTACCAAAATGTATGTGGCTAAGTTGATAAGAAAATTTGAAGAAACTAGATCTGTGTCCAATATTTTCCGTAATCAAAATCGAGAAAATCGACCACTTAGAAATGAAGCCGCAGAAATAGAAGTTTTGGGACACGGAGCACTTGACAACACCCAAAGCACTCGTGAACTAACTACTTCTTCAGGATTTACAGTACAAAGAATTTTGAAAAACAATAAATTTCACCCGTACAAGATAAAACTTGTCCATAAGCTCAATGGAAACGATTTTGATAGAAGGTTGGAGGTTAGCGAATTAATGTCCCAATCAACAGTGCAAATCTGTCATTTAATATTTTTTTGTTTCTCAGATAAGTGTACATTCTATAGTCTACATGGTGCTGTAAATATACATAATTGTCGATATTGGCGTGACTTGAATCCTCATTTGTTTCAAGAGGTACACTAGCAATATCCTCAGAAAATAAATGTGTGGGGCGGCGTTTTCGGAAATCATATTATAGGACCTTTTCTTATTCCTGGAAACTTGATGAGTGAGACGTACTTGGACATGT